ACCACTACTACTACTACTACTACTACTACTACTACTACTACTACTACTACTACTACTACTACTACTACTACTACTACTACTATTTATAATAATAATAACGATTATCATGATAATGATAATAATGATAATGATAATAACAACATGCGACTATACGAGCGCTCAACCCGATTAAAGAACACAGGCTGTGAGCGCTGTACCAGAAATTGAATAGCAACACGTAAAAAGAGTGCATCGTGCTCAGACTAAACATCTCGATAATAATAATATGATATCTTATTAACGTAAAAACAGAAACGACTTTCGCTGACATTTGAATGAACAAAAAGATTTCATCTTTCTCAAACTACTGGGCAAAGCATTCTAGATCTTGGTGTCATGGTATATTTAAATTATGTACTCTCCGCGAATTTGAATTTCTCATTGTTTTTACATATTATGTTTTCTCTTCTTCTTCTTCTGTTTATTTCCACAGTATAGGCGAATTGAAGATTACCTGTGGGTGGTTGGCGGGTGCTCTGGTGAGGTTTGCTTCTTCTTTCCTATCAAACATCTATCGTCTTATCTCCCCTCCTTCTTTTTTATATTTATTGTTACTCTCTTGTAACTCCTCTAATCTTCTGGCGCTCATAATTATGACCTTATGCAGTTGCGAGCGCCGTAAAACTTCTACTGAAACTAAAACTAAAAAGAAAATTACCTATGTCTTGTTTTGTTTTGGTAAAGTTTTGGTAAGCGTTTTACGGCGGTCGCTACTGCATAAGGTCATACGAGCGCACGGGACAAAATAATTTTTTTTATAGTTTGGTAAGAATTAATTTTGTATTTTACCCGGCTGGCGGCCGAAGTGTACTCTTTTCGATTTTGGACCACCAAGGGATCTTTATCGTGCACAACCTGCACAAGGGACCTCTGAGAAGGCTATGTTTTAGATTTTACTTTCTGTAAAATAAGGGGCGTGGCTGAAAGATAGCAGTAAGGAGGAGCCAAGGAGTAGCAGTAGAAAGACAGCAATAAGATTTCGGTGCCTCAAACTGTGCGCATCCTAAGTTGATATTGTAAATGCTTTTTTTTTTTTCGGGGGGTG